GCCTTTAAGTTATTATATTTCATTCTGATAATTGTTCTCAGTTTGCAAAATTCAAAAATAATATTTAAAGGAAAATCTTCTCTTTTTGCAATTTTTTTAAGAGTTTTTACAACTCCTGGCTCTTTTCTAAATCCATTCAAATGATGTTTTTCGAAAAGCTTGTTTCATTTTTTAATTTTTTCTAATCAATTATCTGTGGGTTTAATAAGACATCCCAATGAAAGTTGCTGGACCCAAGAAGGTATATTATAATTATGTTCTTCTGCTTTTATTTTATAAATATAATCGCCTAAACTAGGTAGATCATTTTTATGCTTTTTAGCAAAATATCCAGCAATATATTCCAATTAGTCCTCTGTTATTTCTGGAATATTTGTATTTGAAGTTGAAGGAATGTTAGTAGAAATATCAGAACTACTAGATGAAAATGAGCTACTGCAATTTGATCCTATTGTCTGCTCTAAAATCGTGTCTGCGTTAATTTCAATTTCATTTGGACCACGGCTTCTAATTTGAGAAAATCCATTTTTGAGAATGAATTTATCCCCTCTTTTGCAGCGACGAATAAATTATTTTTGCAAAGTTGTGGAAACCATATCCTAAGCAATAGGAAAAGGCGATGTATCTCTGTAGTTGTTCCTAAAATAATATTTTGCTGCGAACTTGTTTATTTTGGGCAAAAAACCCAAGAGACATTTTTTGTTTAGAAAGAAACAGGCTATCGGAAAAAAATTTTTAAATGGTAAACAAATGTTAAAACAAAAAGTTACATTGGAAATAAATTTCAGGGATTGCGTTTTCCAACCCTTACAATCATGAGGTAAACCAAATAAATTACGGGCTAAGTGTCTTTTTGGTAGTACAAAACGTCAGGTCAATTTCAATATTGTAACTTCTTTAGTGCTTGTGAAAAAAATTGTTATACAAATTTTATGTACCCCCTTTAAGGAGCTGTATCATAACAAGAGATGCTCCAATGGATTTTCTTCATATGAAAGATCCTATCTTTTTTCAATGAGGAATCACCTCCTTGAATGTTTTACACTTATTTAGTTACACCCTGTATATTTGCTCGAATTATATTATTTCACATTCTAGGAGTTCCACTTATTCTTTACCTATATAGTGTCTTTAACGAGTTTGAAAAATCAATTTGAAATTATTGTTTAGGAAATGGTATGTGTTAAAGTCATTTCAAGGTAATTAGTTTTCTAAAATTAATTCTCTAGTAGTAATTATAATAATTCTTGATACGCTTTAACAAAAGTTTGTCCTTAAATATATCTATACCATAATTCATTACCTATATTAAACAAAATTCCTCGACACCAAGACTATTAGTGTTTGTCTCACAGAACCGTTCAAAAAGGGCAAGCCTTCCAACCCCCATCAGAAACCTCCCGTGCAGCCCTTGGGACAAGTGTGACCCGACAGGACTCTTCCTTCCCATCGTAAACATTCCGCGAGCGAATAGCCCGCCGCGGGTCTTGCACCACTTCACAACATTGACATTGCGATCTCCGGGGAAAAACATCCCCCGGCCTTCTTGCACGCCAATATCGCGAACAAGCTCTCAATTCAGCATTCTGATCGAGGAGATTTATGTGAGAAAAATACGAAAGCGTGAAGTTGTTGCTAATAAAAAAATCGCGTTTAAACAAATGAATATGTAAAATTCGTGACTACGTAGACGACAGTTGTTGTTTTCTTTTCAATGAGCCTTTTTCCTGAGAATAGTACAGCAAACGTGTCGTGAGAGGCTGCACTAGTAGTAGGGACAAACAATAAACTATTCACATGTAAAACAGTGTTATTTACGTTATAGGTATTAATTTTTTATTTGAAAATATAAATCTGATATAAAAAATCATTTTGTGCTAGTATAATGCCAACAGAGCCTTGCTGTTTTGCGAATTGTACGTCGGATAATCGATATCCGGTAGAAAACGTGTTTTTATACCATTTATAAAACCTCATAATAATGAGGTTAGATGTAAAAAATGGATACATGCTTCGAGGAGAGTGGATTTGACAGTGCAAAAAATAAATAAATATTCATATGTATGCTGTAAAAATGAAATGAATAGTAAATTTTTCATAGTTAATTACCATTGATTAGAATGAGATATAACTTCAATCGTTTATTAAATTATATTCATTTATTATATTTAATTAAATTTATTTCATTACCATCTATATTTGATTCATATTTCACTCGGATATAAGTCTAAAATTCATAATTATTTTATTACAGTTTGAATCTACCGCTACTCGTTTACTAGAGTCTGTATACCTGCCTATCAATACATTTTTTTTCCAGTTACTTTTAAATTACGGCATGCAAGCCAACGTTTTAATGTTACAACATTGTTATCCTCTACAGTTGCAAATTTTAGTTTTGCTCCAGGAACATTTTCTTCTGTTAAAAACATTCTTTTTTAATTGTACTTTACCATATTTATGTTTATATGAGGATTAGGCAGTGTTTGTCCCTACCGAACTACTAGCGCTGCTAGTAAGTGATTTTTCGTACTTCAGGAAAAAGGTTCATTGAAAGATGCTGACGCTTCACAATTGCATATGAATCGTAACTTTAAAGCCATTTCTGATATTTCCTCAGCTCACAAACTCAAACTCCGAAAATACTTAATAATTGTATGATGGCTTTGGCACACACATGATGAAAATCCGTAACGCAATCAAATAACACCTAATATGAGATTTTCACTGGACAGTTTACAAAACCGTAACACGTGTTTCACTATACAATAAATTCCTTAGGTGTATTCATACTGACTAAATTCTACCTAATTAGTGGTTTATAGTATAATAACAACTTGCATCATATGACATAATTTCACCAGACTTTAGGTACAATGGTACAAACCAATTGAAAATTCAATATCTATAAATTAAATATAGAAAAACAATTTTCTCCAACTCATCAAATGGATATGTAGGCAGTAAAATAATTATCAATGTCCACATCAGAAAACAGAATCAACAAAGGGGATGAATTCAATTCTATTTGTTAATAATCTATGTAAATCCAAATCGATAATAATAATAAGAGGTCTTTCTTTATTCATCCTAATAAGAAATAAGCAATAAAAAGATATAATAAAACAAAGTTTGATGAATGCGCGAGGTTCATCAGCTATTATAGCTGCTTTTTAACCTAACTTTTCAAAACAATATAAAAAAGTGCAACGAGTAACAATCCTTCGAAGTTTTATTCTTTGGTGCTGTCCCTCTTATCCTAATTATTATATTCAAAAATAGTCTCCAAAACACGAATTATCAAATTATGTGTATGGTGGAGGGGAACTGTTATTCACCATTTTGATTTTTGTCAGTCAGAGTTGCCAACCGTAGCGGCATTCCGCTACATTACTCGACGGTAGCGACGTAGCGAATTTGAACATGAAGTAGCGGAATTTTCTACAAATAATCAATATTGAAAAAAATATAGAAGAAAAAGAAGAAGCGGCAGTAGACAGCAGTCGAAGCTGACAGCTGACAATTGAATAATTGAATGCACAGTCAATACGTTGTTATAGTCTTAGTAGCTGTCGCCATTACATGATGAAAAACAAGAAGAATGTTTTTAGATATTTTCATTTTCAACTAAAAACTGTTCTATGGTGTTTGATTTTGGATAAGGCGCATGCGCGAACTGATTGTGACAGATATACAAGCATAGGGGAATAGAAGCACTGTAGCGGAATTTTGGTTCATTTGTAGCGACTTTATAGTTCATCGAGTTGGCAACACGTCAGTACTCAGTAGGAGTACAGTATGAGAGCTTCAGTGTTGTTTCCGTTGCGACACAATGGTGGATTGTGGTAATAGGGCACAATTTACGAGTCCTTCGTTTTTGACGGACTTCACAGAAGCATATAGAGAGTTTCCACATATATGGAAAGTGAAAAGCAACGAGTACAGGGACAGGAATAAGTGAGACAAAGCGTTGAACAATCTCTTACTGTTGACTCGCGACACGATTCACACTGCAAAGCTGAGTTTCCTCAAAAATAGAATCGAGTCAGTAGGAAAAGCAGAGTTTCCGTAGGGAATTTAGAAAAGTGAAGTTGTCAATGAAATCCGGTGCGGCGGAGAAAAATGTTTACAAACCACGATTATGGTACTATAACCTCATTTCATTCATCGCCTCATTTAATTTTTGAATAATTAGTGTAATCTTTCGCTCTGTTCTCCCTAAGGTGATATAAGAGATTGAGGTGAGAACACTTCTATCTCTCTCACGAAGCCACTGCTTGGTCCATTGTGATCTTTCCTTCGTCTTTCTTGTAAAACCTCCAAACTAATCTGATACAGCAAGAGCAGCTGCAATCTTCGAAGAAATCATCCCAACTGCTAAAATGAAACTAGTGAAATAACAAACCGTTGTTGATTGTTCACATTCCCCTACACTGTGTGTAAGTAGTGACGAATCAAGTTCGGCGAACCAGGTTCCATGTGTGCAGGCCGCAATAGTTTTGATTACACTCTAAATCATAAATCAAGTTACAAACGAACATACCATCAAGGAAACATATGTTCGTTCTTGCTCTGAGTATGTTATCGAGTAAGTCTTTATTCTGTCAATTCTGTGCATTTGTCATGTCATTAGTCATAACAAAAATACGTAGTAAGGTGTAAGAAGTTTATGTTTAAGTTTCGAGTTAATGAAAACAAGTAAACAGTACCGCGGGTACAAGGGTTTTATGCACAAAGGCAATAAAGAGGAAAATGTAGTGACAACAACTAATTATTGAAATCGTTTAACATAGTGGAATCACAAATGAACGGTTTCAGTACCGGTGAAGAGGATTCAAGGGACCCTAGTGATCAAATTTGTTGCTTGATTGAAAACGGCGATCGTTGTTCAAAACCAGCTGGAAACGCATCATACAGCAAACGAATTCAGAAAACGGTAACGCAAAGGCGATTGAATTTAGGAATAGACAATAACGTAAGTATTCAATATTTTCAATCTATTGTGAATTTTGAGAGCAAGTTATTATTTGAAATTATCTCCAGATGATGAAATTTAGTTGGCGAACCATTCGCGGAGCAGCCAGCTTTTTCACCAACAATTGGTTCCTTTACGAATGAAAGCCTTAAACAAAGCCTCATCTCTCGATATGTGATTCTTAGAATGGAATCTGAAAATCGTCTACTTGACCACTGGATTCTCGACCTCGTGAATTTGCCTTTTCTCAGCATGACTTACAGAAAAGTAGTCAAACTGTTTATTCCAAGATTGTTGGTTGCTAACATTTCAAAAAAATTTTTATTAACCATAAAAAAAGCTAATGAATTCATTTATTAATCCCAAGAAACATTACATGTTTATAGTAGGGACAATGTGACATACAATTCAAAAAAACTAAGAATAATAACAAATAAAAGTAAACAAAAAAAAAACAAAACAAACAAAATAAAAATATGTGAAACTACAAAACTGTCAATCTATTGCAAGATATATTCTTTTAGTTGTGAAGGAGAATACTTGATTTTATGTAAACTAGAAGTGAGACAGAAGAGCACATTTTTGTTGAAAAATATAAACATATACAGCTTGTCAAATCTAGGAAGATACAAGACATCTGTCTCTCTCACTGTCTTGTAAGGAACACAGATCTAGTGGACAGGGCCATTATGGAATTCGGAAATATCTTCCTACATTTGACGAGCTGTACAAGTATTTTTCTTTTGTGGAATTCAATGTTTATATGAAAATGGCTATTTAGGGGGGCTTTTTCTTCCAGTTTTGTGTATAAAAGTTATTTCTTTGCATGACCTACACATCTTTGTATAGAGTTAATTTTTGAAATTGATTGCTTCCTTCCTCTCTTTTGAAGATTACCACCACATTTTTTGTATCAAGATGGAGAAGTAGAAAACCTCAACCTTTCTTTCCAAAAAACATATACAAATAATGTACTCAAAATATTGTACTTGTAGCTATTTTCAAATGTGAGCAAATTTTCAAAGCTTCGTTTTCTAATGGTATTACAGAAAACTTTCATTTATCCTTGAATAACTTTTTAGGCAAGACACAATTATATCTGTGATTACCACAAAATGATCATTCAGTGTGCCAGAAACAAAAGGCGACGAAAAGACTCTGAGGATGACTCAAACGAGACAGACACGGATGTTCCAGAAGTTGATCTCTACCAACTCCAAGTCAATACTTTGAGAAGGTACAAGAGGCACTATAAGGTTCCAATGAGACAAGGACTGAATAAAGCACAATTGGCTGATGTAAGTATTTTATTCAAATTTCAGTTGATGACAAATCTTTTTTGTGGAAGCTTAGATTTTGTGGTAGAATGAAGTTCAGTAGACAAGTTCAGTTTTGAAATTCTGAAATATACACATTATCTTATAACATACTAATCAAATTTAGCGAAAGAAAAGATGCTCTCCACAGACTTTGTGGAAGCAGATTAATTTACGTGACTATTTTTATTGAAAACCACAATGAATACTTGTGGGTTATGGTGGAGGGTCGAATAGACCTCCACACTTTTGACCTATGTTTATTGAATGTTGGATATGTATTCATTCATCACTATTTATCATTGAATGTCAGTCTCCTTTTGTGAATTTTTTTTGTACAGTGTGATATATTGCTACATTTATATTTATTTGATAAAAATAACTCAACTTTTATTGAGGATAAATGAATAATAGCAAAATTGAAAGTGACAGGTTATTAATTTGTATGTGTATGTATGGACGAGGATTTGAGGACCCTGGTAGGGACTGACCCATCACAAACAGTGTGTGGGATGGCGGAAGAACTGGGCGTCAGCTGATGGTTTTAAATGTATTGAAAGAGTTGAAAAGCAGGTGCCACACGATTTAAATGATCAAACAAAATTGTCAGGTTTCAAAGTCTGTTCTTTGCTTCTGCACAACCAAATCAATCCCTTTTTGGATTGTATTGTTACGTGTGATGAAAAGTGGATCCTTCCTCTACTAAAACACGTTCAGGACAGTAGTTGGACACCGATGATCCACCCAGGCACTTCCTGAAGGCGAAAACTCACAAAAAAAGATATGGTTACTGTATGGTGGTCAGGGGCTGAGATGATTCACTATAAATTTCTGCAACCATGCCAAGCCATCATAGTTGAGTCCTATTGTGAGGAAATCGACGAAATGTACCAAAAATGGCATAAGCAACAGCCAGTACTGGTCAAGAAAAAAGGTTCGATCCTGCTCGTCTGCATGTTTCACAAATCATCCCACAAAAATTGAATGAATTGAACATCGAAGTTCTGCATCACGCACCATACTCTTCAGACCTCTCGCCAACCAATTACCATTTCTTCAAGCACTTCCATAACTTTCTCACCTGTAGAACCTTCACCAATCAGGAGCTGACAAAAACTGCCTTTGTCCTGAGTCTACAATTTTTATGCTGATGGAGTTAATTACCTTGTGTGACGTTAGCTAAAGTGTACTGATTCAAATGGCGCTTATTTCTATTTACTGAAATATTACAATTCAAAGTACTCATAAAATTGGACAAAATTTTTGAAACAACCTGATATATGTATAAAAGGTATTGACAATTTATTACCAAATTTTGATCTGTAAAGGCTAGTATTTGTATATGCTAATATTTGCTGAATAGCTTGATGGGTAGTATTTGGCAAAGAGATCCTCAGTATCCAAACCACAAGAACTGTAACTGTTTTAAGTTAATTGAATTTGACCAGCAATTCGATTTCCTGAAGTTATTCAATCATTTCCAAAACGAGTTTGAGTCATTTGTTATACTGGTGGTTGTTTTATGAATATTATATACCTACAAAATTCAAAATAGTTGGCTTCAATTTAGTTTTTTGTTGGTAACACAGATTTTTTAATGGGTAATTTTTACTCGATTCTGAAAGGTAGAACTATACTAAATCCAAAACAAGAACTGCAGCACTCTTCTCAACGAACGTTTCACCAATAAAGTTGGGGTCTTCAGGAGATAAAGTAGACAGTCCACACTTGTTTTGAATTTACTTGATTCGTTCTTCAAATTGACAAACAAGTTGAATAAATGAATATTGAAAAACCTACGGAATTGTGACCAATCTTCGAAGATATGATAATCCTTTGTTATTTTTAATGACATGTTAAAAACATAATTTCAGAAGGTATAAATGCAGTTAATTTTTTTTCAGACTCTTATGAAGCACTTCAAAACTATTCCAGTGAAAGAAAAAGAAGTTTTGACGTTCTTTATCTACACTGTGAAAACAAATGCCAACAAGTTGGACCAGAAAAACGGCATCAATAATGACACAAATTAGCAAGGGCAATTAATTTCTTTGCCTACTTTATTCTTTTATTAGAATACATATTTTACATTTTTCATGTTTGATTTTTTCATAAAATAAAAAATTGCAATGATACAACTGAAATTTATTTTGGAGATGTTTTATTTTTCAGCTTCTTCTTTTTCTTCTTAGTTTTTGAATCAGCATTTAAAATCACAACAGCTTCCTCTTCGCTGTCTGTATTTGCAATATCCACAGTTTCAACTGAAAAAAAAAAGGTGAGCTTGTTTTTAACTCATTGTAATTTAAGAGTGACAAACCAATGTAGAAGCTTATTAGAAACTTAAAGAATAGAAAAAACTAATGACAGTATAAAAATAATTAGAACAGATAGAAAATTTGCTTATGACAGAAAAAGTAAATTAACGGTACAAGGCTTCAAATTGAGTGAATTTTAGAAGTGGATAACGCTTTTTCATTATTTCTACTGAAACTAGATCTGTTAAAAAAGTTGAATACAAAAGTTGTTGAAAATATAAGTATCTACAACCTTTGTTTCACAAAACTGTAAATGTCACAAAAAAGTGGAAACACCAGTTTCTGTAGATCTATAGATATGAAAAAATTACCGTACATTTTCTTATAAAGTCTATAGTTCAATTTTATTTTAATCAACTCAGGATATTTTCTCAATTTGGAAGCGTGGTCATAGTATTCACATTATTGGTATCCCATTATAGTTTAAAAAACCGTGTGGAATCAAGTATTGATACAATTGGTTTCCAATGATGAATTTAAAAAAGGTTTGAGTATAAAATTAAGAATATTCTTCAGTGGTTTACATTTGGTCGTAGTATTTGAATGTGATAAATCACTCGCCCCAGACTTTCAAGCCCCCTTTTTTATGTAGTGGTTTAATTTTTTCAATATATTCAAAAATAAGAACAGTTTGTTCGATTAATTATTCGTTTCTGAAATATGCCACCTCTGTCAGGCTGATGAGTTTCAAATTAGGAGAGATAAGTCCAATAATAAGAGGTCGACAGCAGCTCATTAATTTAAAATTTCATTACATATTTTTCAGTACATAACCTATTCAAGAGGACAAAATTTATTTTATTTTACTCAGCGTAAATATATTGAATAATGATAAATATTTGTTTGATTGAAATCGGATTTGAACCAGATCATCTGAACTCAATACATATTGAGGATTATCAGGCAGTTTCTATTTCTTCTCATTCAGTTGGATTGATGGCGCAGAGCCATCAAAAATTCCTTCTTGGGATGATAATGAAGTGATACATTCCGATCAGGCTTAAAGATGTTTCTGATTTGAGAATTGCTCCTTATTTTGCATCTCTTTACAAAGAAGCTAAAAGGACATTTTTCAGTTATATGAAAAAAAAATGAAACAGGTAAAATAGGAATTGAAACTTCCTATTTTCATAAACTACACCTTATGATTTGATCTTCACAAACTTTATTTTCAAAATATACCACGACATGTTCTGCTATCGCAGTAGCTTTTGTTGTAATGACTAACATACTATAATGTACATCTACAAGGACATCTGTCTTTTTTTTACCACTTTTATTTGTTATTTCAGTTTCATCCTATATAAACATTTTCAAACTAATACAATAAATAGTTTTATTGTTCTTCGTTCCCATGAAATGAGTTCAATAGTATCTCCATTGAGTTAAGTAGATGAAATGTGCTTTGCAGTTGTACAGAATGTCAGTTGGTTTCCACAATCTATCGTTGAAATGAGCTTTTTATATTCAATTTAATTTTATGAGAAATGGGATAAACCTTCACATTATTTTATGTACTTCATAATATAAATCATATCTGCATATAAATTTGTTGACTTATTTACCGTAGGCTTAGTCATCTTCTGATTATGCTAACTTGGTTTGCGAAACACACGTCTTAAGACATCATTTTTGTTCTGGTAATGGAAAAAGTGTTTTCAATAGATTATTTACCGATTGTGAGTATAATTTTTCACTTCTTTGCTATTTTCTTGTGAACTTCTGCATTAGAAAAGCAGTACTGATTATTTCAATAATTTTTATTTAATTTTCAATTTTTATTTTCTGATAACCTTGTTAGTGGTCACATAACATAATTAGAGTTTAATATATAATAAACTAAAATTGTTTGTCAATATTTTCAAAAGTTTCAATACATACCAACAGGAGATGGAATTTCCACCACCATAACTTCATCCTCATCTTCACTTTGGCATGCTTCCCATTTCGAATTGCTTTCTGAGTCATTAGGAACTAAAGCTGCCGTACCACTCCCTAAATTAACATTGTGTCAGGAATGTCAACAAATGTCAGGAATTTTCTCTAATATATTTTACCTAAAACTTCAATTTCAGCAATAGAGTCCTTAGTTTCTTCAATGTATTCTTTTTCTTTACGTTTATCTTTATTTTTCTTTTTTTTCTTCTTTCCTTTATTTGAGATCCACTGGTTTAGGCATAGACTCAAATCCTCCAAAGGTTTTTCAATTTCTTCCAAGACAGTTTTATGGAAGCCTGTATCTTTTTTTTCTAACCTAAGAAAGACTCAATAATAATACTAGATGGAAACCAGAGCCCAAACAACACACTTATGATTCAACAACAGGTAGCGATGTTTCGACTCGCCAAAGGTCTCATCAGTGGTGTTAGGCTGAATCTCAAATGCATTGCTGGACTCAACTGTCCTCCAAGGACAAGCGTAAGTAACGACAATGAAATTTTTCATCACAAAGACGCCATCTTGTAGTGAGGTATTGAATCAAGAGCAGCATTTCTTATTATCATATACTTTTTTCTATATGAAGAAAACGATTCATTATTCCTTAATTTTTTTGCAACAAATCATGAATGTTATTGATTAAACTTAAGGTTTATGATACATATTTTGCAGATAGTTGATATGTGAATCCCATCTTGAATATTCCTCATTCAATTTCATAAATTTCATTAATATCAATTTCAAAAGATCCTAAATTCAGAAAGGTGTTTTTATATGAAATGATAAGTAAATAATTAGTTTTATCAAAGTTAGTTGTTATAAATTATTATCAAACTAAGTTTTAATTATTTTTTTTTCTGATTGATTCGGCCATTACTTGATGAAGATACATAGTAATTTCATAAACTAAACTCACGATTTGATCTTCACAAACTTGTTTGTGTGGAGATCAAATCCTGAGTTGTAGTTTACGAAATTTTTCATTTATATGATGGAATCGGCCGATACTTGATGAAAATCCATAACTAACGTATTCTAAAAACACTTTATTGTGAGATTTTCACTAGGTACTTTTACAAAAACACAACACGTGTTTCGCCATACAATGGCTTCCTCGGGCGTGTCTTAGTAACTAATTCTACACATTCAATGCTATATATATATACACCTTATTCTACAATTTGAAGTACCTGATTTTTTACCTAAGTTTCTAATGAATTGAATTACGTGAGCATATGTTCCATTTTCCACATTTGAAAAAATATTCAGTAACGGAGAGTTATTCAGTTCTAACTGATAATTCAGTAAATTACCCGAATTCCTGAATCATTTGATTTCTAAACATTCTAGAAGATTGAGTTTCAACCTCTTCTCTTCTAAATGTAACACATCGTCTTCATGATTGAACTCATGTCCTTCTGCTAAAAGGTGGTTTGCAAATGTGGAATTGGTCTTTCTATTTACCAAAATACTTCTATGCTCTTTAATTCTTTGGGAAAATGTTCTTTCTGTTTGGCCAATATACAGTTTTGGACAAGAGCCACAAGTCAGCTTATATATTCCTGATCTATCCGACAACAAAGTTTTGTCTTTATTGTTTTTAATAAATTTACTTAGATTATTATTTGTTCTGTAAGCTACGTTTACCCAGTTGGCGGAATACTTGGAAATAAATTGAAACAAATGGACTAGTTGAGTGTCTATTAGACAAAAACCACGTGAATCCACTGAGAAAACAGGGAATTGTAGATTTAATTACCATTTGTCTATCTCAAAATTATTTCCAGTTTGACGGAAAATTCTATTCATGCAGTGAAGGACTAATAATGGGGAACCCTTTGAGTCCCTTGCTGGCGGAAATTTTCATGGATAACATAGAGTATGAAATCCATAATAATCAGTTAGCTAACAGTTTTTTGTACTGGTACAGATACGTAGATGATATCTTAGTATGTTTTACTGGTACAGATAGGCAATTAGGCAAGTTCATTGAATATGCCAATTCCATCCACCTGTCAATAAAATTCACCACTGAGAGGGAGGTAAATAATTCAATAAATTACCTTGACTTAACCATTACGAAAAATAACAATAAACATGAATTTGCAATTTTCCACAAACCATCGTACACAGACATTATCATACTTAATTCCTCCACACACCCTTACCAGCATAAAGTTGCTGCAATCAATAGTATGCTTCACAGATTATTGAATATTGCACTGTCTGATAGGGATTTCCAGAAAGAGCTGAATCTGATCAAACAAATCGCGGTTAATAACGGTTATAAGGTAGATATTATAAACTCCATTCTATCCAAAAAACTACAAAAGCAAGCCATGGACCTGGTCTACCCATATTCAAGATGTGATAACGTCAGTTATAGGACATTGGCATATTTGGGTGAACCAACCAGGAATATTGCCCGTTTTTTGAAGAAAGAAGGTGTAAACGTAGCTTACAGAACGAATAATAATCTAAGTAAATTTATTAAAAACAATAAAGACAAAACTTCGGTGTCGGATAGATAAAGAGTATATAAGCTGACTTATATATTGTATATTGGCCAAACAGGAAGAACATTTTCCCAAAGAATCAAAGAGAACAGAAGTAGTTTTGTAATTAAAAAGACCAATTCCACATTTGCAAACCATCTTTTAACAGAAGGACATGAGTTCAATCATGAATACCATGTGTTACATTTAGAAGAGAAGAGTTTGAAACTCAATCTTCTAGAATGTTTAGAAATCAATAGATTCGGGAATCCGGGTAATTTACTGAATGATCAATTGGAACTGAATAACTCTTCGTTACTGAATATTTTTTTTATATATATAACATTGAATGTGTAGAATTAGTTGAGGAAGCCATTGTATGGCGAAATAAGTGTTGCGTTTTTGTAAAACTATCTAGTGAAAACCTCACAATAAAGTGTTCTTTAGAATACGAAATTTTTCATTTCTCTATTAATTATCTGTTTCAATTCAAACCAAGTTGATACTTTCTATATGATAGCAGTGTGATGCAGAGCAGTGGAATTTACCTTCACTTTCAATAGATAAAAGGTGATCATCATATATGAATTTTTTACCTTTTTTCATTGTCTGCTTGAACAGACTCCTTGATTTGCTGTACAATATTAGATGCCCTACCAGCAGCTTTTTCTGCTGTACTCATAATAACATCAAGATTCAAAGCCGCTTTGCCAATCAAATGGAGTCCACATAATTCTTTGTAAGCATTCAGCCCAATTGACAAAAACCCATCAGACACTCCCTCTTCCAGCAAAGTTGGATCAGCCAATATAAACTCTCTGAAATGTGTTTATATGTGAGAATACATATAACAAATATTTACTCAAAACATTGCTTCAATATATAATAATGAATTATTTTCATCCTATTTGTCCAGCTTTCATCTTTATATTTCAGATGAAGACTTATTCAGGACTATAATATAAGGAATGTTCAAAATGCAGATTATAAACCAAATACAACATTATGTATTGACAACGGATCATTTCTTTTGTCTCTGAAGCTAAATGTCTTGGTTTTATTTTTGACCAGCTACTCAAATTATCTGAGCCATTAGTGTTGACCCTAAGAGAACCTACTGGAACCTTAAAAACTATTACCTTCTTAAACGAGATATGGGAACTACCACTAAAAAAAACACTTTGCAACTCTCTTGTTCTCTCACTTGTTCAGTCATTTTAGGTCGATTTAGGCCTGTATTTCGGAAAGTTGACATGCCCAGCTGTAAATTTGTATAAACTTTGTATTTTGGCATCATAAAAGTATTCTCATAATTCACATATGATTCGACGGCCGCAACTTCAAAAATTGGGGGTCAAAAGTAAAAAAAAAACGACTTTTTGCACGTTTTTTGCCAATATCTCGTTTCCAATGGGTTTTATGCTAATTGTATTAATTATCAATATTGTAGAGAATTAAATTCTCTACAACTTTTGTTCCAAACATTTTTTTATATGTTGAATCGTTTTTGAGATAGAGGGCAGCGCGAACGCAGATTAAATATTATTTGAAATCAACTGGTTGTCCCGATCAAATACAGCTCATTGAAGTTTATAAATTATTACTTGATAAATAATTATAAATAATTTTCATTTTTTATCAACAAATACATTATATTTGAATATTTTTTTCATTAATGAACCAATCTATGTATTCAATAATGCAATTTATTCCTGTATTTCTAAAAGTAATTAAGGGATATACTTCAATTGTATTATCTTTTATGATAATTGCATTTAAAGTAGAAAATAATTTTGTAAATCTTGTTTAAAATTTCTAAACTCTGAAACGTTTTTAAGAACATTCAAGAAACTATCTAATTTGGATGAACTTGTCACAGCAGAAGAAAACTGCGGTTCAAATATTATTTGATAATCGATTGCAAACTTTATTAGCTGTTTATAATGCTCCAAAATCTCTAGATACTATCAATCATCTTCATTATGCACAATATATCAAGCTAACAAAGCTCGATAAACCTGTTCAGTTATCAAATATTCCACCAACAAGTGGAGCAGCTCACCAACATTTTAATCGTGTTTATTACCAAGTTCAAACTTGGTTAGGACATGATTTGGAACACCAGGAATGGGGTTGCACAATGCGAAACGGATTGCTAGAACCTATCATGACCATTTTACCACCTGCTCCAGATGAGTTACTCAGTATGATATTCTGTAACTGGAAAAGTGGTTGTGGTTCAAGATGTGGATGCAGGAAAGCGGGTTTGCAATGCTCTTTATGTTGTGGCCAGTATAATGGGCAAGCTTGTCTCAATGGTGTACTGTATTAGACCGATATTAACGAAGATAGGTCCTTTGATCCAGAAATCATGGATGAATTGGAAACGAATCTGGGTGAAGATGACAATGAAGATGATAATGCCCTTGAATTTTTACAGCTGCGAGAAGTCGACGACGATGAAGAAGAAGTTATAATTATTTATTAACTAATAATTTATAAACCTTAAATGAGCTGATTTCGCTCGGGACAACCAGTTTATTTCAAATATTTAATCTGCGCTCGCGCTGCCCTCTATCTCAAAAACGATTCAACGTATGAAAAAATGTTTGAAAGAAAAGTTCTAGAGAATTTAATTCTCTACAATATTGATAATAAATACAATTAGCATAAAACCCATTGGAAACGAGATATTGGCAAAAAACGTGCAAAAAGTCGTTTTTTTTTACTTTTGACTCCCAATTTTTGAAGTTGCGGCGTCGAATCATATGTGAATTTTGGAAATACCTTTATGATGCCAAAATACAAAGTTTATACAAATTTAAAGCTGGGTAGGTCCACTTTCCTAGGCAAACCCCCTGAAATGACTGGACTACGCATACTAACTATGCTGACATTGTTTATGGACCTTGTTTATCACATGAAGGGCATGTAAAATTGCAAAAAATGCAAAATCAATGCATTTCCTTTATAAAATTAGGAATTACAATGTTTTAAACTGGATGAAACGCATTTTATTCACTACGCTTATCTTGTTAATAAGATTTGAATTTCTGGACTACCCAAGTACCTTACCTCAAAAATAGTTCGAACAGATCACTGAGGAACATAAATGATAGATACCTGTTCATCGTTCTTCATTTTTCGAGATATCCGTATCTTACTCTGTAGCTTATCCGTTAAATAATATTCCGTTAGAGTATCATCCTGAAGGGGTAGCTGAATTCAATAAATTTTAGCAAATTTTAATCCTGTCTTATATTTTATGGACTTGGTTAATATCATTTTAAATGTACTTGGTCCTTTTGTGTGTAATTTTTGTATTTTATGACATAATAAATACTTATTATTGCATTAATTTTTAGGTATTCGAAGGTTGTGCATTTGTAAACCAAAATAACTTTTGTTCAATATAGGTTGGTCAGTATCAAACTTCATTCTAGACAATGATATAATTAAATCATTCGAAGATATTTAATTTAGTAATTTTTGTGGGATCATAAAAGTTTTTATTCCTGAATTCATTTAATTGAATATTGTTAATTTTTTTGTATATTTATCATTTTGATCGAATAAATATTATCATAATCTTCATATTTACCCTCCACTGAATATAGAATATGTAACACAAACAGGATAGTGGTGAATGACAGTAGGTATAGGATCTCGTTGCTTGAGACTATGAATTGTGAATTCTTCCCCATCACAGGTAACATCAGGCCTACGAAAATGTGTTAATGCTGCAAGTGCTGCTATTGAAGCACAGTCGAGAATGTTTCCTTCATGATTCAGAACATTTATATCCACCCGAATGACCCAAACCTAAAATAGAAATTGAAAATAGATTACTCTATTGATGCCTTACACTTTCGCAGCTATATAAATCAAAAATAGTCTGTCTGTTTAGGATTTACCTGATAGATGGAAGAATCGTATTGAAGAATTATATAGGATTATATAACGAAGAAAAAAATTAAAATGGTTTCAAATAATTAAATCAAATACATTTTACAACTAATTATTTTACATTTCTCCATCAGACTTCAGAATTAATAAACTAAAGATAATTTATATTGCAACACTAAAAAAATAATTAAGAGCCACAAAAATTATATATAAAAAAAACATTAGAAAAACACAGAATCGGAATTTTTGTATAATTCAATTGAAAAATAGTTTATTTTATTCAAATAAAAATAAGAATGATAAAAAAAATCATGACTTTTGCCAGACCTGCTGAATAATAAAGTTACTCTACATAGATAGATGATAATCCACAGGTACAGTTGAATCTAGAAGTATCCCAAAAAAAATTCAACATTCAAGTTAATTTCAATTTCAATATTTCTCAAGGAAAAACCAATATAGTCATTACAGGTGAATCTGTCATTGAACTTTGACTCTCTCTGATTTTTTCTTGTGGTTTGACAGATGATAAATTTATTTCTATTATTGTTGCATCATCAGCAAAGATAATTACCTCAGAGCTCGCCACTGTCATTGGAAAATCACTGATCAAATATAGTAAAGACCCCAGCACTGAGCCCTGAGGAATCCCACATTGTACTAATGATAAATTAGAAAAATTTGACAATTATATTATAAGGTATAATAGTTTTGCATTGAGTTTCAATGTCAGAATATCATGAGAGTCAAATGTCTTGGATTACTTATACCACTATGAACTGAAAAAAGAAAGGATCCACGAAGTAAATACCTTTTCATTCATTTTGATGCACAGTGACTCCAAGTCTACGGCTTTGGAATCTTTCAAACATTTTTCCAAGAGACGGTTCAACTGAACAGACAAATCCGAAGATCTACCAGCTTCAAAATTTGGATCAGCTAGTGGGTTAAGTTCAATGTTTATGATTAGAATGCCTTCACTAGGTCTAGATGACTTTGGCTGTTGAATTTCACAAGAAACTTGAGCTAAAACTCTATATTATCTTCAAGTTCGGAAATAGTAATGAAAGTTCACAACTTACTTAGTTTTCCCTAAAGAAACATAACAGCACCCCCAATCCTTGCCAAATTCTAGGTTAACTTTTCTGAATTCATTGAAGGTTCTGCCATCTAGCCTCTAAAAACTTCAAGAATTAATTTAGGTTCAGAATAATAACCAGAGTCACATACATTCCCTTCTGATAGATTTTTTAGTAGAAATTTTTTTTCACAATTTGAAATTGTTGTTTTCCTCACAGACATGTCGAACTAACAAGTGATGATTCCTTTCCTCTTTGTTTTATTGGGCTCGCTAACTATCCACTTCAATATTAATTCATCCTAATGTTTTTGGCTTTCGCTTTCAATCAGGCCAATTAGTGTATTTCTATCATTCAAACAATAAACAATGTGTGATGAAAAATTAAAAAAAAATACAGTATCTACTAACTTCCTCTTCTGGTTAAGGTCATTGCTTCCTTACAGGCGCATTTAACCAGTGCGCCCCCTATTACATAACATAATAGGAACTTCGTTAATGCTGTACCATATGAACCCGATGTTAACGAAGATAGGTCCTTTGATCCAGAAATCATGGAAGAATTGCAAACGAATCTGGGTGAAGATGACAATGAAGGTGATAACGCCCTTGAGTTTTTACAGCTGCGAGAAGTCGACGACGATGAAGAAGAAGAAAATTGAAATTAAAACTCATTATTCTTTTATTTTATCTGTTTTTTTTAATTTTGACATTCACAAATGTATCAAATGAGATTTTTTAATAAAAATATTATTTGAAATTTCATTTCTTCTCTATTCATTTTTATTTAATTAAAGAATAACTACTATAGATTAGATTTAAATTATAATGTAATATATATTTTTCCCTATTATTTGGCTTTCGCTTTCATTCAGGCCAATTAGTGTATTTCTATTATTCAAACAATGTGTGATGAAAAATGAAAAAAAAATACAGTATCTACTAACCTTCTTCTTCTGGTTAAGGTCATTGCTTCCTTACAGGCGAATTCAACCAGTGCGCCCCCTTCGTCGGGAGGTACAGTTTGACTTGCTCAAAGCAATACCGTACCATAGCAAACATTATATTATTCTACTGTTACTATACTATGCTATATTATAGTATAATATTTATACATCACTTGTTGTCCGCTTCTTAACTTGTCTGAAGTTTTCGTGTGGGTAGTTCTTGGAAAATGTTATACAGAACACAAACAAAAGGTCCAAAAATATTAGAGGATGAGAGACAGAACTAACAGTATTCCCCACCCCATTTTACAATTTAATACCTACTTTACAAAATGTTTTCATATTTCAATTACCTGTCTTAGCGCGACTTATTGCATTATCGACATTTTTATTCCATTTTAAATTAGTACCCGAGTATTTAACTTCATTTTTCATCTGAACCTTATGATTGTCTAATTTCTTATGTTCCTGTAAAAGGCCTACCTCATTTCAATATTAGACTTTCACATTTTTATAGTAATAACTAAAAGTCGTGTTTTTTTGTCCATGACTTCATGTTTGTTAATGTGTCATTCATTTTCAGCAATAGTGTCTTGAATATTCTGCCCCTTGAAGGGAGGCAAAATATGCAATTATTTTGCCTATGGGTAATTTGAATAGTAACTAACGGGCTTAATGGTGATCCCTGTGTTAATCCTTTTGAATTTTTGAGTAGACTGTGCTTCACTCCATTTTTATCAAATATACAATTTTTCTTATCGTTAATCATTCTAGATATTAAATTTGCCAAATCTGTTTCAATTCCATATTGCAGAAGGTAGTTATACAATATATGGATGTTTACATTATCGTATGCTCCCCTAATATCTAATAAAACTGTCACCACCTAAATAGGAATTCTTGTGACGGATTCGGCGATTGCGAGTAGTGAGACCTCGAAAAATAAATAAATAATTCTATCAGACGGAAATGCCAGCATGTTTACCCTATCGTGAGATTGACTACCCCGTGGTTATCCAAAACAAATTTTGTTAGAAAATACCAAAAAGAACCTCTATTTACCCACGGTACTGGTAAATATCACGTCTTTGGCTACACTCTCCACGAGACGATTGGAATTTGGAGTTGGTGTAGTGACAGATGACAGTGTTTCTATTCTGTAGATGACAGCATTCAAGATGACAAATCGCAAAGGGGAGGTGAGTTCTCAAATTCAACATAAAAATTCCGATGGATTGATTTAATCAATATAAAAGCGCGAATGATTTGATCTATAGATGATGTTCAGTTCAAAGGGTAAGGGAGCCCGGCTCCAACCTGACTAAATTCAAGATGACTTCCACCGCCTATAGACGAATCCATCGGATCAATCGGTAGACTCAACGATGATATTAAGAACTCGCCTAAAAGCTGGAATATTTTTGCCAAATAGCAAATTGCTAGTGACAAAGCATTAAACAATGAAAATCTGATGAATAAAAGCGAAGAAGGTTAGATATTTATTTATTCAAAAATAAACATATTGTTTATACTGCTCAGTATAATCATCTCAGTTGAAATATTCACTACATATACACATTACATGAGAGAAAAATACTTTGAAACAAATACTTTTATAACGCTGAATTATATGTATTCCAAACATTCTTAATGGAATCGAATCAGATATAAATTGAAAGGGTATATTTTTGGGAGCCATGAATTTTTGAAAAAGAAAAGTTTTAGACTTTTTGCTTTTCCATCTTGGTACAAAAAATGTGGGAATCTTCCAAAGGAAAGAAGCAATCAATTTCAAAAAATCAACTCTATACAAAGATGTGTAGATCATGCAAAGAAGTAACTTTCAGACACACAATGAAAGAAAAAGCCTACTCGAAACAGCTATTTTCATATAAACATTGAATTACATTAAAGAAAAATACTTTCGAAAACAAATCCTTTTATATGAAAGCTGAATTGTACACTCATCTCTATTCAGTTTGTATTCCAATCATGATAAAATCGAATCAGGTGTCATTCACAGGATTCCTACATTATATATAAAAAATTAAAAAGGTAAAATTTCACTTACATGGAACACTGTCATCCTCACTGGTAGACATTCGATGTTTTGCCATAAGGCACTTGCCTCATTGGTTCTTTAGTACCAAATCAGGATAACATTATAAGAAAAAACACTCATGAAGAAAAGAGAATTGAAACTTTCTAATGTTTTTTAGCACTTTTATTTGTAACTAACGTTAATGCAGTTTCGTCGTATAAGGACATTTTCAAACTGATACATTAAACTTGTTTAATATATAACTTATCATTTAGTTACAAATAGAAGTGGTAAAAAACATAGGAAGTTTCAACTCTCTTTTCTTCATAATTATTTCCTATCAGGTGGTAACAGCTACATCCATCAATTTATTAAAAAACACTCAATTTGTTCATTATGACTCTATGTTATGGAATGAGTTCAACCTACTCATGTCATCGATGAGTAATGTCTTTCATTTGCTTGTTTGATTAAATCCCAGTCAAAGGCATCTTGTTTAAATTGAAATTTAAACTAATTATTGAAATAGACTAAAATTTATTGAATAATATCTGATTCACAGGAGTTTTTATTTAATGAGTATACAATTTGTACATTCAGAGCACTCTATAACACATTCTTCCTCTGATAAAACTTCTGTACCTATTTCAAAATTAATTCCACATCTACATGGGTAATAAAATATATTGTCTGTGAAATGTAAGTCATTCTTTGCTAACTCCGCATAAATTAAATAATTCTCACTGAAAGTATCTTGAAGAAGTGAGGCATCATATTCCTTCCTTGTTTTCTCATTTCTTAGTGTTTTGAATGCTTTATCGATTAAAACAAATACACTGTCTGATAGAGAATTCCTTCCTTCTTGATGCTGTTTATCAGGATGGTATTTCTTTATCAGGTATTGATAACTACGTTTGAGTTCCTGATATGTTGCATCTCGACTGCATCCTAAAACAACATAATAATCGTCTTTCCTCTCACTGTTCATATTGTTTTGAAAGTCAGTGCTCTGCTGTACATCTTCCATTCCAGGTGAGTGTTTATGTTACCACTGAGATATTTCAACTATCACTATAAGAAGGGATAACAACATTTCACTTATTTTTATAATTTATTTATTCAAATTGAGGTTAGGTACCACTAAACTCATCCTTCATTTTGAATAAAGTGAGAGTGGTTAAGGTCCCGTTTGAAGTTAACATTGTTAGGGTGCGTTCCGTTATCAATTATCGTAGTCACTTGTTCGAAATTCCCGAAGTGGAGTAGGTATAACTTAACAGAGTTTTCAAAGTAAATCCTAATTAGCTGAAAATGTTATTCGATTGTTCAGAAGAAAGTATCAAATACGGACAAATCAATAGAGTCGTTTTATATGCATCTTCTCGAGCAACCATCAGTATTAACGAACTGGAAAATCGTCGGATTCAGAATAGCATAACTCCGTAGAAAAATTTACTTGATCCCTCAACAAGAAAGAGATTGTGGTGGCCCAATTTCTCGATATCAAAAAAGCATTTGACAATGCACTACCTGAATCTATCGAATCAGCTATGACAGAAAAAATACACAGAATCGACCATAACTGGCAAACGCTACCATGGTTGGTTCATTCCGAGGCATTTATATATCCTTTGAAGTATGTTTCCGAACAATTTAATCAATAAAACACGCGAGAAGCACAGGGTCGGATTGGACAGAAGGATGGTTGTCTCTCAACACACCTGGGATGCAATCGCTAGCCGGGGAAAAGTAGGGTCGAGAGGCCGCGCTTTAGTGTGAGGGATGGCGCCTTAGCAAGGGCTGGAAAAAGCCACCCGGGAATAGGTAGGGTCGAGAGGCTGCGCGGTAGTGTGGGGGCGCTTATGCGGGAGCCTGGCTGGCATACGCCATTCCGACAGCATATTTTGTCAGACACTTGGGAAGCCACAAAAAAGCGTTAAGAAATTTTAGTGAAAATTGTAATGCTCACCTTCAAAATAAGATATCGTTTGGAACAAATCAAATTTTTAAAGTAACATGAGTGTGTTGAATCATAATGAAACGATTTCGGGTTTTTCAAAGAACGATGTAGGATTCGAAAGATTTTTTCTCATTTTCTTGAATGTGATTCTAAATAGTCCAATAAGTATTCTAAAACTATATCATATCTAAATATTGTAATTTTTTAAGCTTATCGAATTCTTTTCATTAAGAGTTATTTTTCATTTTCAGGTATTTCATCATGACTAGAACCATGAAATTAATTCTCTTCGTAATTATTTTACATACTCAAAATACACTACAAAATATTCCTCTTGTAATAAACACGTGGGGGTTCAAAAGTGCTACTCAAAAAGGTAATACGAAAATGTGACATCAAATGCAAGTTACCGTAGGTTTGTATAAATTTTAGCGTGGCAAGTTTTACAAGAGGGGGAAGTCAATAATCAGGACTCAGCTCTGGATGCCCTCACAGCGGGATGTAAAACGTGCCAAGATGAACAGTGTGACACTACAGTTGGATATGGAGGCTCACCAGATGAAAATGGAGAAACTACTTTGGATGCCATCGTTTTTGACGGGTTTGTACATATTTGATGTTTTTGAAAGATCCAGATACTTCTCATTATTAAAACTTTTCATTCGATTTGATTGTAACCGCATGGAATTATAAAAATTAAAAATGTGGGTGAGAGCAACGATAAGGTTTACCAAAGACATACCTTATCTAATGAGGACATTTTTGTGTTATTTGCCAAATTCTACTTATCTAATTCGACATAGATGTGATAAAATATGTGCGAGAGCATAGAAAAAAGTTATCAACGGCATAACGAATATTGTAGTGTTGAACTAACCTATAAAATTATCAAAAGCATAGTTGACTGCCCAACATTACTGGAAAAGTTAAATATTTGCATTCCTAGAATCTGTTTCAGACACCCGAGTACTTTCTATATGAAAACATCTCGCACAAATGTTCTGGAGAATTCTCCGATTCATACCATGTGTGAAGTGACAAATTCTGTTAGCGATAATTTAGATATATTTAGTTGCAAATTGTCAAATATAAAATTCCACTTCCTAAAATGATTGTTTTGTCACCTATAATGAATATAAAATGTGTAGTCTTTATAGTCACGTGTTTGTATTGTTTGTAGTGTTTGAAGACTTTACACTCACTTGTTTGTGATGTGTTTATTATACTCTGTTATTTCCTGCTCTGTAATTGGGCTATGTCCTGTAGAGTATTGTATTACAAATAAATATATAAATAAATAAATGAATAACGTAATAATGACATTTTTGTGGTATTTGAAAAAATCTACCAATACTACTTCATGTAATGAATTGAACAATATAAGGATCGTTTCACATGACTGGTCAGTGTTTTTATATTTCAGATCAACTCTGAATTTGAAAAAGATAAAAAATACAACTTCCCTAGTACTTTCGTTTCTCATGATTCGTATTTACAGTATTTTTTTAAGCAGAAAAATTTTCCGAATATTACCTCTATCCCAAAAATTTGTCATAGAAACGTTTTTTATAAAATAAAATCAAAAAACCGTTATGAAATAGTCACGAAATTATCACAGAAATGTTTCTACAACTAACTCATAAAACATAGTTTCCTATAAAAGTAAATTGTTTTGTAACCGTTTTATAGCACGTTTTGGCGAGGTTTTTATGATATTTATAAAACTATTTCATACTTATTTTATAACTGCTTCCTTTAGCTTTAATGAAATTGTTTTAATGGAATGCTCTCAAACACAATTTTGTTTTTATTACCATATTTTCACTTTAATGATAATTTACCAACTATTTTATAGTATGGTATATTTACCACGATTCCAAAACAATAAAATAACTGTTATATTTTTTCTGTTGCCAAGAAGAACCAGCCGACATTGATTATAGAGGTTGTGTAATGGGGAATGTTCCTCCTGACGAAAATCAAGTAGTTTTCATAGAAGAGCTCTAAAACAATGCATTTTAAACTTATCATTTCAACCTTTTTTTTTTAATTATTTAAATACTTGAAAAAGGGGAATGTAATAATGCATTCAACATTTAAAGGGATTCGTTTCTATTTCACCATTTTTCAACATCGGTTATAGCTAATAAAGGACAGTGAATCTGTTACCTGTATGAGACAAACAAAGATGACATATTTCAGAGGCGTGCTGTTCTGTTTACTTATGTTCCGAGTTCCGAGACGACATTCTGTGACATATGACATTTTGTGCACCTAACCTATCTTCCTCTATATAAAAAAATAACAAAACAACTATTGTTTATGTGGCTTGTGGAGGTGGTATTGAACTATAATTTATATTTTGCCTTAATTGTTGATTCATAAAGATAATTTTCCTTTTTTAAAGTAGAATATCTAGGTACGTATAAATGATTTCAACTCGATATAGGCGCTGTTGCCAATATGTGAAATAGAAACAAATCCCTTTAAAAATTCAAACCCAACATTTGAAACATCAATTTGAATACTTTTCGAAGTGAATTTGAAAAACTCATAACTCACCTTTATTTTGTTCAAACTTGCATTTGCTGTAATAACCCAAATTGAGAAACATTCCCCATTGCAGCAGTTCTACCATGGGCAGTTTCAAAATCCATCCGACAGCTCCCCCTGAAAGCACGAAATTGCCTACAACTCAATGGCGGCCATTTTGAACATTTATTAAGTTTTGAAGGTAATAAATTAGTACAAGATTCATTTTCATTTTTTCATTGTGTTAATTCAATCATTTGGAATGAAATGAGCTAATTTGCCATTAGTTTTTGAAATCGATAAAATTTTTTTTCGTAAAGTGATAGTTTTAGTTGCTCAGTTCAAGGCACGTCATATAGACGAAGAAATGACTGGGTGATCCATAAAAAAATCTTTTTGGAAGCTTTTTGAGTCACCCTTTATAATGGAAATACTAACAAAACACAAAAAAATTGTAAAAGGTTATTAATGACTGAAATAAGTCGATTTAAGTGGAGCACCATGTATGTATACCCTCAAATCACTAGCTCAAAGCTTCTTGGAAATTTAGCCTATAATCCATGGGAGAAGCTTCTTAGGCAAAACATCCTGATAAATAATATTTATCCAAACAATACATGAGAAATCCTATCTTCATACAAGCATTTTTATAGAAATCTATAGCTTTAAAAGTCGTCCGACTCTGCCGCAATACCATCACTCCTAGAACTATAGTGGTAATATATTAGCACAAAATATGTTAAAATATTTGCTGTTGTTACCAAATTATTTTATAGAACGATGCCATTTTAAAATATTAGCAGTCCGGAATACTGACATTATAGATGAGTTAAAAATATGAAATACCTACCGCGCATGTATGTTATTTACAGCTGAAAAGTACATAGATGTTATAAAATTATATTATTCAGAACAAACAGTTCGCGATGAGAAAATTAATACTTCTTGTATAATTGGTAATGTTTTCCAAAAACATCAATAAATGAGTGGCGCGCTTAAATTTTTCTAATAATAGGCTATATAATTGTCAATAAAATTTCATTCACAGTAAAAATATAAATCTTTGAAGCACAAACAATGTCTTTGATAGTTTTATAAGTAAATAAGTGAAATTATTGAAATGGTTTCATTCTCTCTATCAGTTTTCAGTTTATGACATATCTATTATACGTATTTTCCTAGTGTCCAATACAAAATTAATTCTTGCGCCTTTGAAAAACATTTTATAAACTTTTTAATTCCATCTTTATCGTTTCCGGTTGCATTATATTTTACCACGCTTACATGGAACTACTAAATTGTCAGATAGACAATTTGACTTCAAAGAAAAAACCTTAAATGAAGACGCGATTTTCGAACTGACAGAATTGATACATAGATCCTTGGAGAAAGAAAAACCTTCTTTATGTCTTTTTATAGACCTAACGAAGGCTTTCGATACTGTCGATCATCAACTACTGTGTACAAACTTTAGAAAATAATGGGAACTGCCAAATGCTTTTCGAAAGCTATTTTCGAAATAGAATGCAAGTTGTGCGAATTGCAGATACAATTAGCAATCAAAAACAAAAAGAATGTGGAGTCCTACAAGGTACGGTACTGGGTCCTCTGCTTTTCAATTTATATCTAAATGAATTATTCAATTTGGACAGCGTTGGGAAAATAATTGGATACGCAGACGATACTGCGATATTCTATGAGGCAGACACTTGGCTTGATTTGAAAAAGAACGTAGAAACAGATTTCCACTTGCTCAAAAAATGGTTTGACCAAAGGCTCCTGACAGTGAATCTGGAAAAAACTAATTTCCTTCCTTTTAGCTGCAATCTATCCAATGATTGTCCATTTGAAACTCTTGATGTCGGCGAACAAGGAAAAACAATAAACAATCAATAAAACAAATAAGTATTTGATTTCTCTCCCTGAGAGAAATCAAATACTTTGGGCGTCTACATAGATAGAAACTTAAGGTAGAACTCTCATATAAAATATACAATAAAAAACTGCAAACAATGCTTCACAACTTCCGTTCCTTGAAAAATTATATAAGAGTAACCTACAAATAAGAAAGTGTGGTGTTCCTCAAGGTACGGTTTTGGGACCTGTCCTTTTTTTTATTTACATTAATTAAATTATTAATTATAAATCTTGATGGTAATCTTCATTCATATGCAGATGACACCGTGGATGTAGTGGCTGGAGATAACAGGGATGAGACCATATTGAAGGCTGAAGTTGGCATGTCAATTTTGAAACATAACTTGAGTTATGTTTCAAAAATGCAATTGCACTCTTAAATTAAACTCCAGAAATTTTAGAATTTATATAGATTGTTGCCTGAAATGGAAAAAACATTCACTCGAATTACCAAAAAAATTAAGAAAATCAGTGACGGCTCGTGCATTGGAGAACAGGGGAGGCTAAAGTCATAAAGACTATATATACACAGAAAAGCCCGCCGGAGTCGCGAAATTTTTTATGTTGTTGCACGCTTTGCTTAATACTAAAGTTAGGGCATGGGCATGACAATGCGTAAAAAATGCATGAGGAGCTATGGACTTTATTTTAGTTTGTAAACCATTTAAATGACCGGCCATGACCGCAGCCCCATCATAGGTTTGCGCAATTAACTTTTGCCTAAAATTATGTGTCACACGTACGAATTAAAAAATTAAACAAATCGTCAGCTGTGCGCCCAGATGAAACATCATGAAAACCCATATAACATTCTACTACATTACCATCTTTGACATATCTAAAAACGATTGAAAGTTGTGATATACAGGTAATATAGGTAGTTTCAACAATTTCCCATGCAAAAAAAGAAACACTTTCAATCTCCTTGCTTATATTTTCCTTAATAATATATACCACACCGTCTATAGTAAGCTCATTTTGGATGGTTTTTGAGGTACCTGAAAAAACGCTACCGTTTAAAAAAGTGCCAAATTGTGAATCATATTTACCCCATAACATTAAAAGTTCCTTGTAATTGCCGCGATTAATGGAATCTTCGGTTTCATCGTGTCCACGAAAAGCTCATTCTTGGGAAACCAAATAAATCGTAATATAGATAAGTCTTTTTAAATTCGACCGATTTTCCCTAATTATTATTAAAAGAAATTATGGCCTCTTTCTGAGCTTTATCTAAAGCTGTTGTTATATTTTGTTTGCTAAAAAATTTCAATTTACAAGACGAAAATATATGCTCCTTATATTCAAAATGTCTTTCTGTAGAACGAGGTAAATTTTTCAAATCGGAGTATTTTAGATCACAAAAAAGTTTTTCTCGTTTAATGGAGCCGGTTAATCAATCGCATTTATCGTACCAACTGATACTAAATCCTCGATTTTGTCGATTATCTGACGTTTTAATTGAAATCAAATTTGGTTGAGGCCTTCCCAGAGTTTTTATAATGTAATATTTATTATCATAAGATAAAGACTTGAAATTATTTGTCAGCAACCAATCGACTATATTGTCAGATTTTTTAATTTCGTCCAACTTATCCATAATAAATGAAAAAAACTTACCGAAAAGTGAAAACCTGAAAACACCTTGAAATTGAAAGAAAACACTTTAAAAACACATTAAAAATATTACCAAAAAGCACTGCTATAATACAATACTGCCTGTTTTATACACAAATAACAAATATTATCAAGAAGCACTAAAACGATTTAGCAAAATATTTTTCAGTCCCGGTCCGTCACGACATCCCGTCCGAATAATTAAATAAAAAACACTAACGGAGACCAACTGGAGGCTAGCCTCCTCTAACGCTATAATTTCTTCAACTCAAATTACAAATCGGGACGTATGTCGCTGGTTGGATCGGTCTCGTGGAGTCTGTGTATTTTAAAGCGGTCGTAGGCTTTGTTCCTTGGCGGTGTGCTTGAGTTTTGTTGATGCAGGATACTACGTAGTAAGAGATAGTGTTTTTTCGGGCATATTATGTATTCATATTAAAAATTAATGGTAAAGTAATGATAACCAAGCATTTTCAGAAAAAAAATAATTATTTTTCAATTATTGAAATATTTAATTTCCATATGGGGATCTGCAAATACCGCAATTCTTGAACTATTAAAAAAATTCTGAATAAATCTATCGAATGTATTTCTATGTATTGTTATTTATCATTTCGATCAAAAATTCAGTTTATTTTCTGTAGAGATTCCATGGATATGGGTGCTGTTGGTGGTATCAGAAGAATAAAGAATGTTATCTCAGTAGCAAGGCACGTTTTGGAAAACACGGAACACTCATTCTTGGTAGGAAGTTTGGCCACAGACTTTGCAACCAAGTTTGGTTTTCCTGACGAATCACTGCAGACAAATTTTTCGCTGGATCAATGGAGGAACTGGAAAGAAAATAAGTGCCAACCGAATTTCTGGAAGGTTTGTTGGTCTGTTTATCATTTACGGTAGTTTAATGTGAAGAAGTTGTTATTGTTTACCCAGAAATGACAAAATTCACGTTTTGCTTTGAAATAATAAATAAACAGGGCTATTTAAAATCAAGTTTCTGCATGCAGATCTCGTGAACAATAAGAAATAGACTTCGGTAGGGGGCAGGCATGTCATCAACGTTTATTACTTATCAAGGACAGTTGAGTCCAACGAAGCAATTGTGGTCTAGCACTACTGATGAGACCTTGGTGGTGTGAAACAGCACTAGCTGGTATTGGATCTCGAATGCTTTATTTTTGGGTTCTGTTTTCATCTAGATGTCTTGCAGTGAAACACACAAGAGGAATCTCGTTCGAAAATCTGTCGAAGCTTGGTTTTGCACCCGACCGCCTCGAGTCCAACGAAGCTTACCCTAAGACCACTGATGATACCTAGACGATTCGAAACAGCGTTGTCCGGTGTTGGATCACGAATGGTTTATTTTTGAGCTAGGGGCTAGGGTTTCATTTGGTTGCCTTGCATGGAACGATAGGATCAATTTTGTTCGGCAGCCAATGTCAAAGCATGGCTTTGCACTGGACCGTCTCGAGGAGCTTGATTCATCTTGGATATTCATAAACGGTCAATCCCATAGGTGACGTTTTCGTAAGGAGAAATGTTATCGGCATTTTCTCCAACGAGATGCTGACATACATCTCTCTGGAAAATGTCGTCTCGAATCAGTAGCAAAATAAAGTACTTAATGAAGCTATAGATGTAGAAGTGATGGGACAAATTGCGCTCCAGGTTCAAGAATCATTAACCTATGTCGCGGAATGACGGCACAACGACCTAAAATGTAAAACAACAATTTGAAGATGATCTGTATTGTTGCACAGACATGTTCAGCATTTAGTTGACTAATATGATTAATTTGTTGCAATTTTTGCCCCATATTTATTGAACTAGCGAACTGATTTTCAAAAGGAAAGCAGCAATGGATGTAGAAAGAATCATTTGGTCATACTAATATTTAAAAAAACATTAGGAGGTGACACCTAGAAGATTACATGTTTCGCAATCTTTTTGGGACGAAACGTATCTCCTTCACGAACAAACTTGATATTCTTCCATATTTTCTGTTTCTGTGTAAAATTGTTTCAGTTCTATACGAAATTTGTGAAAAAAAACTGAATAATCATGGTCCTGAACTTTCCATTTTTATCCACAGAATGTACAGCCAGATCCAAAAGCTACTTGTGGACCTTACAAAGTTTCATATGATAATTCAATTTCCCAATATTATCAGAGTCAATATAACTCAAAAAATCATGATACTATTGGAATGATTGTCATTTCCGGAAACGGACATATAGTAGCAGGGACATCGACAAACGGAGCAAAATTCAAAATTCCAGGGTGAGATGTTTTCATATTTTTTAGAATATTACAAATAACAAAAAGCGAGATATTTATTTATTTTATTCATTCATCAATTCTCGGTGTATGTATACAATACACTTTATATTTTAAAAAACAATTGATAGGAAAATACACAATATTTCAATTTTCTTAATTTATTTTTGACCACAAACTGATGATTGCTAATAAAGGCCTCTTTTACCTATTTTCGACTTAGGTAACGGGTTACCAAAAGATTTATTATAAAGCAACTGATTTCAATCAGAAATAAAATAAAAGTATTGAAAATAATCTTAATTTTTCCATTTTCCAGAAAATAAAAATAAATATTTTTCTTTTACGATCAATGACTTAAGTTTGAATCATATGCATGAATTTCATCAAAACCACTTTTCCTATCTGAGAATTTCATTTACGTCTTTATTAGAAACTTCATTTAGGTTTCTCGTTTTGTTATTGACATTGGGGCATGATTCAATTTTACTAAAGATATTGGTCTTTCGGATGTATGTCTTCTCGATTCGGTCTTCATCCGTTCCTTTCACTTCTGGCCATTGTTAGATGCATCAACACTTTACGTGAACAATTGGTATCAACTTTCAATTGGACGATAACCAATTGATTTTCCATGAATTCAGCAATGTTTTTACCTTTTATGTTGTCTTCTATTTTCTTTTAATTGTATCATGTTATTTCTTCGTTTATTTTATCTATTTTATCCAGTATATCTTCTTTGTGATTTCTAATTTGTTCTTCATTGTGCTGATGTTTTCAATTTGTTCTATCTGTCTTATTTTTTGCTTCTTTTTTATCTTTTATTCAAATATTTATTTTTATTTGCTTTATAAATTAATCATTCATTGCAACCATCGGTATAAATTTTGTATTTTTTATTTCCCTTGAATTTTTTGTAATCTATTGATTTCGCCATGTTCTGGCCAATAGGAAAATATCGCAGGGAGGCAAATCTGGTGAATACGGTGGCTGAGGCATGATTACGGTATTGTTATTTTCCAAAAAATTACAAAAAAGCAATAACGAGTGATCAGGTGCATTATCGTGATGCAAACACAATGAATTGTTTTTCTATAATACCGGACGTTTTCTTTGTATTGCTTTTCACAAGCGGCACATCATCATAACTTCAAGATGATACTACTTATTGACCGTACGACCATGTGCCAAAAATCCCTAAATTTACATGGATGATATTTATTTTTTCTCGAAATGAAATGTGCGATGGATTTGGCTACATCGGTATTATGTTCAATGGTGCGAGTAGATATCTCAGGATTTTCAACAACGGCCTGTAACATTTCACGCTGACTTTCTTCATTAGATTGCTTTTGTCGAGAAACCATAGGTTTTTTAAATGATTCGTATTCTTTTAAATTAAGAAGTAAACATCTAAATATTGATTTATCAGGTTGTCGCCTCTCTGGATACCTATTATAGTAGGCACGTTCAGCATAAACACAATTTCTTTGGCACAAACTGTAACATGACAACATATCAAATTTTTCAGTATTCGAAAAGCTGCCCTTTTACATTTGTAACACAAATTAAGTTGGTAACGAGATGTGAAAGTAGGAACGGTAATATGTCAAACAACAGTATTATTATGACAAGAGAACATTGTGTGTCATTTTTTCCAGCGCGTACTATCTAAAATTGAAGAAAAGCAGGTTAAGTAATCACTCTTCATTTTGCGCGAGAAATGGTTATAAAATTATATTTTGTGATACGTTGCTGTATTCACAATGAAAAATGGAGTCGTATACAGGGTATATTTTAGTTTTGGCCCATATAAAAATACAAAGTTGATGCTGTTTTCTAAAAGACGAAACGTCACAGAAAAATTCTGCTTACGTTATCGTGTAGTCCTTAAAAAGTGGACATGGCAAAGTGCTATTTGTTTTACATTTCTTTCGAAAATAAAGCTAGGAGAAAATTAAAACGAAATTCTTAAATTTCAGTTTTTCTCGGATATCTCCGAAACTAATCGGAATATTAAAACTTTCTAAATGACATATTATTAGGCACATAAATGCGTTACTTTTCTCTGATTCAATCGACCCCGTATCACTTACCGTTTCCAATATCCCTATACTGTTCATTCTTATCTTGGACACAGTGTATATTTTTTTGGGTCATTTACTTTGATTTAAATTTTTTTTAAATGGGAAATGTTTTACACACAGGAGGGTTGGAGACTCCCCAATACCTGGAGCTGGAGCATACGCAGATAGCAGAGTTGGTGCAGCCGCTGCAACTGGAGATGGCGACATCATGATGAGGTTTTTGCCAAGGTCAGTAGTAGGGTAGGAATGAAAAATCAAATACTTACGTGTTCAATTATTCACCAAATATTGTTAGTATCGATACTGTTGATGGCATAGAGTGACATTCTGAAAAAATAATATATTTCGAACAGTGATCAACGTTGAACCAAGGCAGGTTTTTCAACTGGCCTAATTGAAAGTCGAGTACTTGTTTGTTGTCCTTCTTGAGTCAAATCAATTATCACTTGAGTTTTATCCAATAATAATCCAAAAATAATTCACGAAAATGAGATAGCTCGCCTTTTTCATACATTTTTCTAAAAAAATTGTGTATGTCTCCGTCTTATAAAGTACTTCAGACACCAGATATCATGGGGATATCCAATTGGTGTCGTCCTTTTCAGGTAGGAATATCCTTGGACATGAAAAGGATGACCATAATATTCTACATTGGACTTGAAATGGATATCCTTCGGTCGATATCCTGTAGACGACCAGGTTGGTAGCCTCCGAACGTTTTAGAGATATATTTTGAACATTAATTGGATATCCAGTGAATATTCATCGAATCTCCGTGTTTTGTTCACTTGTATGTTGTATTGTTTTCATTTTTTATTGACCGTTATATTTTCACAGTTTTTTGGCAGTTGAGAAAATGAGAGAAGGAGCTTCCCCTTCCAAAGCGGCTTCCATTGCAATATCAAGAATTGCTGAAAAGTATCCGTCATTTTTTGGAGGGATCATCGTAGTCGATAAAAAAGGAAACATTGGGGCGGCTTGTAATGGAATGGATACATTCCCGTTCACTTTAGCCAATGAAAAGTATCCCCAGAGCATTGTTAAATATGTAGTTAAGTGTGAACATACATAACATATGCCATTGAGACATGCAAACACACATAAATAAATAATTCTTAATTGAAAGGGGTATATTTTTAAAATACATTTTTGGGAACGGTTATGTATGAAGATGGAGAAGTAGAAAGCCAAAACCTTTCTTTCACAAAGAATTCCAGTTATTAATTTGTTGACAGTTGATTAATCTAAACTATATCCATCCATCAAATGTGCGTGGTGTACGTAGTGATCAAAGCAAGATCACGCACATTTTTTTAGATAGATAACATTTAATTCTCAACAAGTGTACACCCAAATACAGGAAATGTTAAAGAAAATATGCTGAATAATAACATAATTAGATTCAATTGACATATTATAAATGAATAAGTCTTCACAATGTTGATATAAAACAATTGAAAATTATATAAAAAAGCTCCGTTCAATGTGAGATACAATCCTTGATAAAATTCAAAGAGCTTCCATTGATATCACACATGTTACATACTGAATTAAAATCATAACACATTATATTTACTGCTGCTCTGAGAATGAAATGTTTTTTGGTATCTAGAGTTGAAGCCTGGTACATAAAGATTCATTTTTTCTATGAGCGGAGCACAGGGGATATTATTATTTAATAAATTGGAACTTCAAATAGCGTTTTCTGATATGTCTAATAATCAGTCCGTGCGAAACTTATTGTTAAATCATCTGAAAATGGAACTTTTAACAGGTGATGATCAACTGCATTGCCAAACATGCGCCGAACTAACTGACTGTTGTAAGATAACAAGTATAGCTCAGGCACCAGTCAATCTAATAATAACACTGATGATCTTCAAACATGACTCAATCTCGGCAGGAAGCACCAAACTGTTACGAAGGTTCGATCTAGCAGACCACTATTATTATAACCTTTATGCAGTCTTTGTCCACTGTGGACCTGGCGTTGAATCTGGTCATTATTACGCCTTGGTCAAACACGAAACGGACTGGTTTAAGTTTGACGATAGTCGTGTCACTAAGTGTTCTGGCGAAGTATTGAATTCATTTGAGCCTCTGGAGACTCCTAGATTTTGTTTTATGAGAGAGAGGACATGGGCAAATTAAGATCTTCAGATGAAGTGGTGCTGCTGGTTTTTTCGGGTTTTCCTGCAGGTGAAAAAGCAAATGCGCCACTGGAATCAATGAAGTCGCCCAGGAGCGTCAATTAATTTTTGTTGTTTTATAATTCTAATATAGAAATGTGACTTTAATGAGAAGTCTACGTGTATTCAATGATATAATGTTCAATGATATAATATCAAATTGGTTCAAAAGGATAGAATAGTTAATTTCCCTTTGGGGAATATTCTAGTTCGGACCTTACATAAGCATAGAATAGCGTCTTTACTACTTTTATATCTCTGATTTCTCTTCTACGACCGTAAATAAAATTTACTAGTGGAAATTAGACAAAAGTGTTTTTATTCATTTCATTAAAGTGATCATGAATTACCACAAAATAAACAAGTCATCAATCACACATATTAGTGAATAACAATCACTTGAAAAACAAACACAATTCCCAGAGGGATTTTGAGAATCATATTGGGCAAACATTTCGAAATAAACAGCTATATATAACGAATCAGGTTTATTTGATGTCAAGCAACTTTTTGAATCATAACTTCTCTACACTCGCTTGACTTGGGGAGTAAGCTGGTGAATGCGTGACGAGAGCGTTACGAAAAGTGAGATCGGGTGAGGGACAACATATTTACAGTCGAGTAGGTTCTGAAGAATTAGGAGACAACTATCATACGTTGCCACTAATTTTAGCAGGAGATTTCAATGTTAATTTCGCGTCCAAAGATGGACAACTTTCTACAAGATGAATTAGAACTACAAATGAATGATAACCGAAATGAGTCTACTACAAGACATGGAACAACTATCGATGCAGTTTTCTCTAGATATTTTTATAATTTTCTTTCGAAAACATATGTGTCTTATTTCTCATACCATAAGCCTATTATTGTCTTGGTCTTACAATCAATCATAGTAATTATTGATGTATCCGATAATGTATCCGATAATTATATATATAGTTGTAAATCATGCCCTGAAGAAAATAACGCCGGTTGCCACTGGCAGCTGTAAACCAATTGTGACGTGGCTTAGTGCGCGCCCAGTCAGACCGACTTTTCGCGAATGGTCGATGTTCGCTGCCGTTCTAGATGCCACCGGCTTCCGGTAGTAGAAGGTCCCTGGATTGAGCGAGACAGACGGTGACGTCATCACACCAGCCAGGTTGCTTCTCAGCTCGCAAGGCATACAGACCATCCAGTTAACCAAATTGTCACGTGGTGTCCTGTCACCCAGCGGCGAACCAATCAGAGTGTACCAACTTATCACGTAGCATCCTCAAACTGTCACGCAACACGCCATTTAATCAGAGCACACGCTTTTGCATCTCAGAACATTGTGGCGGAAGATTTAAATCTTCTGTGGAATAAATAATTAAGGCAGACAGACACGCCGTCACAGCAGACTAGACATAGTAGGTAACAATTTCGATGAATTTCCTACGGGTTTCGATTGCCAAATATAAACACGATCCAGTCGCCTATCGAGACAGTGAAGTGGAAGTGACAGTGCGGTAAGCGGAGCAATCTAATAAGGTGATAAATATTTGAATAAAAGTTGAAGTATGAGTTGAAGTGTTTTCTTGTATTAAAAGTGGAAGAAAGTTAACATTGACATTAACAGTAACAGTTTGGTTAATTATTGGTAAACCCACGGGAAAAACGTAACAATATACATATAGATGGAGTTTTAAAGCACACCCGCTTTTTATTTTTTCAGCTACAATCCTCGATATAATACCTTCTAAATTTGTAGCACATCAACATAATACCAGAAGTTAATATATCTAATTCGTTATCGTACCAGGCTGCGATAAAACAATAGGATAGCGTCATTGTAATCATCTTGCCCCAAAACTTTATACTTCACTTCCTGTTGAAATAAAAATCATAAATAATATCAATCTCTTAAAAAAAACAAAACAATGGCCTTAAAATTTCCAAAGAGAAGAAATATATGATTTTGTCAACCAGAAAAATAAATGTTGAACTTCTTTAACGAAATAAGTTATTTTTGCAAATCCATTATGAACCATATAGTCGAATATAAATGGACACATTATCACAAATTTTAAATAATATTCACAAATTATGTCTCACTTTTAGCAGATACCACTCCTTAGAGACGTTTTATATTTAAATGTTTAATATTTGATGGAACATTATAAATTTCATCACCAATTTCAATCCTTTATTGTACTTTCTTATTGAAAATTCATTATATTTTCTATCTACTGCCACACTAATGCTCTATGTGGATAGGAAGTCACGTATAAGCGATGGTTTCACTGAAACTTGAGCTTCTGTGACGAACATTGTTTACTTTTACTATTGTTATATTATTGATTAAATTATATTATTATTATCCGTAGTTTGCGCTGGTCAGGCCCTATCCCTCGAAGCCCCGATACATTCGGAAGGGCGTGCCAGCATTATCAACCAACGACCACTACCCACACCGCGGTGTAAGTGATCACTGGGTCCGAGAATCATGTGCCCTGAACAAGCGCATTGAGCCAAGAATGACAGCTTTCTGTCTCTGTTCGGCTGAGATTTCTGCCTTAGTGCGGCAAGCCGGTATGATTTTAAGATTCAAGAGTAGGGAGGGCATCATTCCACCAAGGAGTCCAATAATCAGAACAACCATATTGACAGAGTGATCTGCATAGAGTCTGCGGAGTTCCAATAAATTCGGCACTTCTCGTTCCCCACAATGAATTCAATATCCCCCGGAGCGTAGGGCAACACCGATGTGTCGTCAATACCGTAAGAGTACCGTAGATGGTGATATAGCACTCTCAGGGCCGAGTTATGTCGATGGATATAGGCCGAGACCGCATATGCTGGACATGCTTTTATTTTAGCAAGTGCATTAGGGTCTCGGACGCCTCGCGGTAGGCCCTGCACCTTGTGTCAGGAACCTCTATACCCATCACGCGACTGCGGTAGACTAAGATGTTGAAGACACCATCTTGGCAAGCCATGATGAACCCCTCCGTTTCCCACTTCAGCCCCTCGACCTGAGGAAAGCAAAAGTCATGCGCTTTGATAAGCCAAGGTCTTCAATGTTATTGAAGAAGACCCCATGCATTGGCTTATCCTTGTGTTTCCGCAGAAGTGAGGTGATCTTTGCGACTTTTATGAGCTTTTTGCTGAACGGATTCCAACTCGGTGACAGAGTTGTGATCACCTCGTTCAGTATCGAAAACTAAACCGAGTTTATCAGCTGCTTGGGCAGCTGTCCTAAAGAGAAATGCTCTAATCCCTGATCTCTCATAGTTGCGGACCATGCAGAGAAGGGGATCCGAACTCCTGACGACTTTACAGGGTTCATCCAGTACCATTTTGTCATGTAGACACTCCAAACTCAAAAGTCAACGGCTTCCCTGTTGTCGGGGGAAGTACAACCGTGAAACGGATGATTTCGGATGCAAACTCTTATAGAGATGCATCATTTTTCGGGTCTTTACGTCGAGTTGATACAGCTCCTCCCGAGTCCACTTCAATACTCCAAACGAGTAGAGTAAGATTGGAACGGCAAGCATATTTGTTGCAGCAACTTTGCTCTTCCCCGACAGTTCCGATGACCAGATCTGTCGAAGTTTGTGCTGATACTTGCCGCGGAGAGAGTTATTCACTGCTGTTACTTCTTGTGAGTGGCGTTGTTTCACCCCGAGGTAAGTATACGCCTCTCCGGCATCCAAATGGTGTAGGATGGTTCCATCTACAAGCTGCACATCCTCTCCGTAGTCCCCGCATCGCCCATTGCACATTTGTCTATCCCGAATTCCATACCGATAGCATGCGTGTAGTCTTCCACCACCCTGATGGAGATCTTCTCTCCAGAGGCATAAAGTTCAAGATCATCCATATAAAACAAGTGAGTGAGGGAATCGCCCTGAAATACACCCCTTCTGAAAGTGACCCACCCTGTTTGGACTCTGGCTTGATCAGATG